CTGCCTGAGTGAGACAGGTTGATGTGGGGCTGGGTTTAAAACACATTTGCAACCTCGGGCTTATTCTCCATTTGAAACTTTAGACTCACGTAGAACACAAGATTTTTTTTTTCAAAAAATAAAAGAGAACAAGCAGATACTACACAACAGAAAAAAAATGTTATAAAAATAGTAGGTTGCTACAGAGCTCGTTAAAAACTGCCACGGTCCCAGAGACCTAAATCCAGCCTTAAAATCTTGAGAGGTGAACCCTACCAGCAAACATGCATTTTGAGATTGTTTTGGATATAGTTTGGCTGCTGCGCAGGCTGGCGTTTATCGATTGGGACAGATGCACAGAAAGGGATCCCTGGTTGCTCGACGATTCATCTGCCCTCACAGCTTCACTCACTAGGAGAATTAAGGCACAATGTATACTCTCAACAAGGACAGTCATGTAGAGGACCAAGTCCCCAGGAGGTGGAAGGGCTCTCGTGGTGCTGGACCCCCTCCTCACCTGGCTGCAACAGCACAGGGGCTGAAGCCCAAGGCTTCATACAGAGGAGCCATAGGGCACAAGGCCATGCCCTGGACTGGGGGAAAATCTGACATGTGGGTCTAAGGGTCTCCTCTGGCCTGAAGATCTGTGGATCTCTTCTCTCCACCTGACAAGACGCTGCCTTGCCCCAGCCAAATACAAGCCAGCAAAGTGGATCATGGACTCTATACACCTACCTAGGAGAAGGGAGTAGCCATTAGGACAGATAAACAGCCGAGCACATGCAATCCCATGCCAACCTGTCATCTGACCCAGCATCCTGCAAAGCATGCGGTCAGTCAAACATCTTCCAGCAAAGCATCTGAGAAAGGTTTTCGTGAGGAGCTGGGGAGACATTTGACAAGGGAACGGACGGTGGGTGAGCAAAAAATCTCACTCAGGGACCAGCCTGGAGGTTCTCACGAGGGGCAGCGGAGCAAGCATGAGCTCTGCTCCCCACCCCACACTAATTAAAATAACAAATGAGATTGAAGCAGCCACATGGCCACTCCTCATCTTTGACTCAACCTCAGATGCAGCTAACACAGCCATTTGCAGCCTCCACCATCAGCAGCAGGTACAGGCCAGAGCGTGAACGCGCAGTACGATGTGCTTGGCCGGCTGCTTGCACCCATGCAGGACCGCAGCAGGTCTTGGCGTGGAAATGAGGACTTGCCTGCAGGGACCCCATGCTGTGCCGAGGCCTTGATGATTCCCACTTTGGTTTCTAGCTTCCCTGCACCCAGGTTAGCTCCCCTTGCAGCGCCCGAGATGCGTAAGGACTGCGCTGCCTGAGCTGTGGGTGCCGGAGGGAGGCTGCTAACCTGCTGCCCCACCACGCAACCTCCCCCCACCAATCTGCCCCCTCCAAGTCAAGCACCGCTTTCAACTGTTTTTTTTTTAAAAGCTACACCCCCTAAGTATTTCTACTGATCGCACATGAAAAACAACACAACCCCCACTTCTTCAAAGACCATTTGATGACCCGATGGTGTCATTTCAAAAGTCATCCAAGAGCAACTGAACATTTGAAGAGCTTCAGAATATAATTTCAAATCACTGTTGGCAAATCTGTGTACAGCAACACCAATATATCACCATCCTCAAAGACATGATACACAGCAGACACCACCTGTCTAAGCCACTGAAATATCACTGTAGGTCACACCAGCTACAAGACGGGCTGCTCTGCTCAGGTTGTATCCCACATACTTTAATACTGAAACTACACATTCCTTCTCCTGTTTTTAATCACGAATTGAGAGGGAGAGTAGTCCTGGCTTTTGGGACTTCTCGTTCCAGAACTGCTGTCAAATGCTGGATTTTCAAGGCACAACGCGTCTGCCATAAGGCTCATCATCCTTGGAAATATCCCTGCTGACCTGCATCGCAAGATTTCTCCAGGAAGGAGAAAACCTGTACTTGCTGCTGCTGAACTGCATTCGTTTCCATCCAGATCACTATCTTTAGCCAACACAAGCCTCACAGGTTTTGGTTTCGTACCGTCCTGCTTCAGACCTTCTATACAATCTAGAAAAAATCAGCACCAGTGGACCTACCATCTCAGAAGGTTTGGGCTAGAAAAATATGGTGGCGCTTATTAACACCGATGCATTTCTCTTTTTCAAACTACTTGCTCACTAAAATACACAGGTTTCTTTTCCGTTTCCTTCGCACACAGGCACGTCCTCTTTCCCCAAGATGAAAATATCAAAACTTTAGATTTCATTTACTTGCCAATGAGTAAGCCTTTGGAATGGTTGCAAACTTGATGTGAATCAGGGCAGGGGAGGTCCTGTGGGTGCACAGCTCTTCATGACACTGAGTAACACGCAACTTTCTTACTCTCAGATAGCTGTTGAGAGGCGGAGAGGTGACACGACCTTGGAACTTAAGGGTTGACTTTCACCAGTTTCTCTCTTACAGTTGGTCTAACAATAAGACAGAGACTTCTATTTTAGCAGTTATTTGTCTAATACTTTTCCTCTTAACCAAGTAGGAAGATTTCATTTCCTTCCCTTCAAACCTTCCTCTCAATTGTTATCTGGCTACCAGCAAAGATCTGTGAGAAAGTGTCTCAGAAATAGAGCTTTCTGGCATGCCACCTGTTCATAACTCAAATACACAGAACTATATATAAATACATGACATGGAACAAAAATACACACACACAAGGATACTGGGTGGATTTTCAAATGCATTCAGCGTGCTCCCTCTGAAGTCAATGAAAACCCAACCCAGAACGTCTGATGAGTAAATATGGCGAGGAAAACATACACATACGAAAGGCAGAACTGGAGCACAAGCCAGCTTGGAGGAGGTGCTTTCCCTGCGTACAGCAACACATCCCCACTGCGAAGGCTCAAGGAGTTCATAGGGCAGGAGGTCCTAAGCTTTCCAGATGTGTGTCAGAGCTCAGAGAGGGTCTGATGGACTTCTCTCTGCCCCGTGCTGATCTCTGCAGGAACAGCAACAATCGACCTTCCAAATGTCCCTTCTCCACGAAGATGTGGATTTTAAGCTCCTTTTAATGAGGGCTAGCATCTGGAAACAAGGAAGAGCAGCCAGCATTGTGGCAACCGGCCAGCTCTGCTGCAGGCACCCCCAGTAAGCTCGTACAAGAGCAGTCCATGGGCTACTGTTGGTGGATGGCTTTGGGATAAAATTGTAGCTGCTGCCCTTGCCTTTTTCCCTGACTGCCACAATCGTCTGTTTGTTCATTATCTTGCTGTGGGACACTCGGGCACGTCATTTCTGAAGCTGGACTGGTACATTTTCATGCCGCATTCTCGCCCACACTGTCCCCTGCATATACATCTACAGTGCAGAAGGGACGCTTAGTGCTAACCGGGACAATGAAAACTGGCCAAGAGATCCCAAGGATGAATGCAGCCTGCCACAGCACAGAAACCACTCTGGCTGGCACATGCAGGTATCTGAAAGTTCGTTCTTTCGCAGCAGGATTTTAAGATGATCCTCTGAGTTCAGACAAAATGACAAACTCATTTACATGTAAATTGCTTTCGTAGCTTTGCAGAAAGGAAGGTTCTGCCGAGCAGTGTTGGACCCTGCATTTGGCCTGCCTTAAATTATAATATAACAACAATTATAATAATACAAATACTACTTTGTACACAAAGCACGCCCTCCCCTGCAAACCCTGGCATGCTTCGGTAGGTCCTACAGCCCTCTAGTCAATAATCACCCTCTCTGCACAGAGAGACATTGAGTGACTTGCCTGAGGCCACAAAGGAATTCTGTAGCAAGTCCAAGGAAAGCTTTGTGGCTCCTAGGTCTGCTTCTTGACCAACATTAACCAGCCTCAAATATACGCAAAAAACATCAAAGCTGACTGTGCCAGGAAGAAATTAAATCAGAAAACAAACAGAAAACGAACCCTGGGGTATCACGAGGCCTCCTGGACTTTGCTGTTTGATCAGGGGACTTAAGCGTTAAAAGCTTTTGTTATACTTGTATTAGGATCACACAGCAATTGCGCATAAATCGCCAAGTTAGCTTGTAGGCAGAAAGGGCTGGAAGGAAAGCTGCACCTCCCCTGACAAGGAGTGAAGAGTTGTCACCGAAAGACAATGGGCAGAGGAAGGCTCGGAACAGGCATCAGAAACAACCTGCAACAGCAGCAGGGGGTAAAGCCTGAGGTGGTTTGCTGCAGCATATCCACAGGAGCCAGCATCTCGATGCAGAGACATGACCACATTTTACTCCGAGGAGGAAGCCACGGGGATCTAGAGAGAGAGTCTTTTCAAACTGATTTTGATGCTTTACAGTTCAAACCCACCTGAAAGGAGGGATGTCAGCAATGAGAGCCACCACAGCAAGGCTAGAGGGGAAAATTGAGCTGCACTAGGGCACAACTCTGATGGAACAGGGAGAATAGTTGGCTTTATCAAGGCTGAGTCTCCTCTCTGCCATGCCAGGACGGCAGAGATCTCCATTTCATACGCTTTCAAGCAGCCCTCTAGATCCTGCAGAGTTGTTGAAGTTGTCCCTGTGAAAAAATGGTCCTTTCTAGCTTCTCAAATTCTGTACAATAGTGAGGAAAAAATACTTGACAGTATCTCTTTAAAGATAAACACACTGTAAACAGGAGATCTCCCCCGCCCCGGTAGCTTTCTTCCTCCTGCTTGTGCAAAACCAGAGGTTGCGACCTTCCCTGGGGTTCAGGCACAAGGACAGGATGCGCGAGAATAAAGTTGCCTCTGTTTGCAGCGATACCATAGCTAATAGCACCAAGATCAACACTTAAAACATGCCTAATTTGAGGGCAGGGAAGATCTGGGTTTGTTTTTCTTGACTGAACTAGAAAGTTCATCTTTAAATCTGTTCAGCTTCAAGCATGTGAGCTTTTGGCCTCCTTTAAACAGGGGAAATACCATTCCGTTTCTGAAAAGAAAAAAAAAATAGCACATGGAAGAACAGTTCTGCAGTCAGTAAAAGTTTGGCTAACAAAAGGACTCCAGAGTCACGTAAAGAACATTTAATCCATGGATTATAGGCTCACACCTGGCAGAAACGCATGTGTAAATACAGGCGTGCGGAGCGTCTACACCCTGGGCTAAGGCAGAGGGGAGTTCTGTAGCTAGGAGAGAGAAAGGATTCTTACTACTAATTTTCATAGTTAAATATTTCTCACTCGCACTCACACATACGCAGGCTGTTCCCAGAGAGCTCAGCCTTGGGAAGGATAAAGGAAAGGGCTCAGTTCGGTCTGGGCTGGTGCTGAGTAGCTTCTCTTCTGTTTGCAGTGGTTGTGCAGCAAACTCTTTTATTTGCAGAGTTTTTACTGCATTAATTATCCTGTGAGTCACTGGGTAATGGACAGCAACTTGGCTCTCCCAGTTGTTAGAAGGGTGTAATTCAGCTCTAATGCAGCGGGTTGTCGAACACGGCATCTGGCAAGATGGAAACTTTCAGTTTCTTTTCAGGCCAGCTGTACTCCTTTGGAAGTTTAAACTGTAAGACAGTAAAGAGAACCAGTTAACATATATTGCTGCAACCTAACCCACAAAAAACCCGAAATCGTTGCAAAGGCAGGCAGTCCCATGTTATTATTATTTTTTAAAACAAGAGGCCACTAGGAAAACATTTCCCCATCAGTATGTTTTGGACAGCAGTGGACATTAGATAATGTGGCCTGTGCCTCAGCTGCCAAAGTAAAGTTCTGAGATTTCAGCCCAAGCGCTGTTTATTTCATCAGGCAGATTATGGAGGGTTTGTGTCCCCATCACCATTTCCCCTCCCTAACCTCTCTGAAAATTTGCAGCACAAGTATCTACCCTCCTACCTGACCACGTCCCAGGTCCTTTCACCTGCCCCAGCCCCCAGAGCCCCCTGTTTGCTTTAAAGGCAGACTCACGGCAGCTTTCAAACTCCTGCTTGTACAGGGAGGGACGCACGTGAGCTAGCAGGGCCCCACCGGGTGACAGGCTTGCAAATGGCCACCACCTTTCCAGGAGGGAAAACTTGCCGCTCCGGCAGGGGAGAGCTAGCATGAACAGCCTGAACTGCATTTCTGGCCCAGCCCTGCCCACCTCTGGTACAAAGGCTTTGCAGAGCACCCGTACAATGCCTCATATTCACACAGGCACTCGGCTGCTCAGGCTGTTTTGCAAACATTGATTGAAGAACTGGGAATGGAGATTTTTTTTGCCTCAGTCTGGTTTACACAGCACTGTCTCTGGTCAGTGTTTCCCAAACAAGGCAAATACACTGGTCCCATCCTGATGTCGCTTCAGGGCACCCTGCTACAGGTCGGGAAGTCACTTCAACATCTCTGATCCCAAACACGACTACGCAGGGACAGAGCTCCAAGAAGCCTTACCATCAACCCTTCTCCCAATCTCATTTGACCAAGGTCTATGCATTCATACAGATGTCTCAAAAACAGCTTTGCGGGAGTGTGGGAGGCGGGGGTTGGAATCTCTTGGGCTACAAATCTGCCCCATCCACAGCTGGATGGCAACCAATCCTGCACAAACATTTCACACAGTCTCAGTGCCCAGTCTGAGGGTCTGAAACACATGGGGGACAGCTCTGGAAGCCAGTTTGCAGGATCATTTCGGTTTTAAAACTCCCCTGCACACACAGCGTAGCACCACCTGACACTATGATAGTCCCTGACACCCCGATGGGACTCCCAGGGAGGAATCTCACCAGGAGACTGCACCACCAGTTACAATCTGACCTGGAGGCAGCTAATTCGGAATGGTTACAGATACAGTGGTCCTCTCCTAGCAGAGTCCTCAGACCAAGGCCAGCAGCACTGTAAGCTTCCCAGAAGCCGTGTGAATTAGAGAGTTGGTGCAAGGGGACAGTGACCTGTGAATCATCCGTCTTTACCCAATTACTTGTCGTAAGTGCCCTGTTTCTGAAGGACATTAACACATGCTCAGCGGCAGGCTCCTGCTAAAGGAGATCTCCTCCAGCTGCCTGCTCCACAGCAAGGGCAGCTCTAATGTGAATTTGCTCCTGACCTTGCTCCATTTGCAGCTGTGTACGAGGGTAACCTGCAGTTGGTACCCACTGACCTTAGTATGCTGGGCTGGCAGCTCAGGGTCTGACCCTTGATCTGGGGGCATGGCAGGAGGATTGTTCAGGATAGCTGCTGCCATAAATTCCCACTCTTTCTCCTCTAGGAAACACACAGCCCAAGTCCCACTTACGGTTGTTTTATTTTAAACTCAAGCTCTGCGTCCATCTTGCACCATATAACGTAGTGGCCCTACACTGCCCAGGCGATTCTTCCAAGTTCAATGTCTCGGGTATGCGAAAAACACGCTAAGGATACTCAGTCAGATCACTTCACTTAATTTCACTTAACATAGGTGTCTCTTTATGCAGCAAAGGAAAGACTCTCCTTGCAGTGCTTTGCTCTACCACATTAGTATCATCAGCAACAGCCAGGGCTGCTGAGGAACGCCTTCAGTTGGCACAAAGCGGGATCCTGCAAGTTAAAAATCCTTGGAGGAATCTGGATGCTGAAAGATCACATTTCATCTCAAGTATTTTCCTTTTTATAAACAGGAGTGGTTCCAAATCAATCCTCTTGGAGAAGTCATCCTTTGCATTTGTTTGTTTTTCACTTTTTAATTTAGCAGAGTCACAGTAACTGGGAACTGAGCGCTCAGTCGCTGTGCCAGGAGCTGCCATGCCCGTTGCCTCTGCTTCTCAGCAGAGAGCGAAGGAACATGAGCTGTCCAAAGCCTTAACTAAAGGGCCTTCAAACCAAAGTGCTCCTGGGCTTCCACGTCACTAGCAAAAATGAGCTTTGGATTAGGTTTAACTGGATAAGAGCTGGCCTGAAAGTCACTGCACAGCCAGCAGCATGCTCCCCTCACTCACACAGTGAAGAACATCCTGGCATTAAATCAACTCTGGATTAAACAATTAGAGCCCTGAGATTTTCCTGGGGGGAGGGGAGCAGGGCAGGGATGGGAGGGCTGCTCTACAAGCCAAGGAAAGTTTCTTTAGAGTCTGCAGGGAGCTGTAAAAAATGGGATTAAACATACTACATGTCATTTCTGCCACTGCTCTTTGAAGCCAAGCAGAATATTTATATGGTATGCATGGGAGACAGGGTGTTAAATGTTCCCCAGGAAGAGATCACATGGCAGGGGGAAGTTTAGCACCGCACAGCAAAGCTTTACAAAGCTCCCTTGGCTGCTGCTGTAACGCTTCCAGGCTGGTGATGGTCCTCTGCACACTCTGCAGGGGCAGCAGGTGAAGGCCAAGTAGCAGATGTGAAAAAGGCCCCATCTCCTCCCCACATCCAAAAAAGGAGGCCCCTACAACAGATTGTTCAGTAGTAAACGTGCTGCCATAGCTTTCTGCCTTTCTGAACACCGGGAAGGTGATGTACGCGCCTGGAGCTGCTGCCGAGGACGCTATGCATGGCATGGCGGAAACTCTGCCACCTGGCCCAGGGACTGCACCGCTTTGATTCGGGATTCCCAGATACCAAGTTGAGAAAGATGCTGGTGAAAAGGAAATGCAGAGTCTCCCTTAATACTCATCCCTGCCCTGTATTTCTTGCAATCCCTTCTCTCAGTGCCTTAGTTCACAGCAGATGTGAAGGTTCAGCAAGGCCTCAAGTCTATGGGGCAGGGCTGCAGCCTGCAAGCTGAGGGGAGGATCAAAGGCAAGCTGCTGGATGGGCTGAGCTCTCTGCAACAGTACATGGGAGATATGGCAATGACGCAGTCTTACTTCCTCTGGAGAATTCAGATCTTCTAAATCTTCCAGCATTCTCTCTACAAACTCTTCAGTCAATAGGATCTGCAAAGGAAATACAGCAGTTTACGCCTTTACACTCCTAGTTTTAGCTAATTGCCAAGAAACAGAACGACTTCTGCAGAGAGCAGACTGTACCAGCTCAATCCTTCCCCCATGTCCTTCTTTCCCGCAATACAAAGGTTTGAGGGCAAGGAGCTCCTAACTTTGCCTCCCACCCCAACCACTGCAAAAAAAAAAGTTAAAATTATACAGTAATCTTTTTTGACCCTCAATTATCTTCCTCAGTCTAAAATTAGAGGCTTGGCTTTAGACAGAGTGGGGAATGAGAAAAAGGGGTCAAGATAACAACTGTTGGACAGACAGTGGGAGACAGAGCCACTTTCATCTGATCCATTGAAGTTAAGCTCGCAGTTTAATCAGGGAACAGCAGTGCAGGCAAAGCCCGAGACCCATACAAAGCTGGTGCTCTGGGCATGGGGAGGACTCTGACCTGGGCGCAGCACGCCGCACAGATGAAGCAGATGCTGGGTACGGGAGGTGCTCCCAGAGGTGCCCACATTAGGCATCTCCATGTTGTATCGTATGTGCCTGTCCCATGTGCCTGTGCTGGGAAAGCTTTTGGCTCATCTCAAGTCCGGGCTGGCAAGCACGAAGTGGCTCAAGAAAGCGGCTGCTGACAGGTCAAAATTCCCAGCTGAAGGGTCATGACCGGAGGCCCCCAAGTCACACAAACCAGTGACACTGAGGGGAAATCATCCCGGAGAATTCAAGGGGAAGAACTCCCACCCTCTTTAAAAAAAACACTTGATAGCCAAAGGCAAACACATCCTGCCTCTCTTCACAACAGTCGTAAAGGCCAGAGCTCCAGGCAGGCCAGCTGGCTTGGCACAGGAGCAGAGTCAGCAGCGCGGGACCAGGCAAACATCCCCACGCAGTGAGGGGGCGTTAGAGCAGCATTCCTGGGAGTTAGGTTGCAGCAATATCCAGCGGATTATTCCCATTTCAGCCTACAGGTTTGTTTCTATCCCCCCTGCTCCTCCTTTCCTTCCTTTGCTCCACCCTTTCCTCTGCCTCTGGCATTGCTTTCCATCCTGAAGCAACCACCATCCTCATGCCCCCTTTCTCACCCTTCCCTTTCCCTGCTCTCCCCACCCACGAGCTCCGTGCTCACTCCCAGAGAAGGGACCGCTCCAGCACCAAACACTCACAGAGTGAAATGCCCAGCCCCACTGCTCTCCACTGTCCCCTCCAGCTCATGTCTGGAAGAGGGGCAGCCCGGCTATCCCACCTCCATGCAGCAAACCACCTCCCAAGCCCACCAGCTCCTTGGTGCCAGTAACATCAGTGGGAGCGAGTGACCGACAGGATGGCATGGGCTGTTTGGCAAGTGGCAGCCTCTGGGCTCCAATTTGGTTAACACACAAGCAGGGCTATTGGACAGAAAGCAAAGACTCTGGTCTCCCTTTCTTCCTTTGGCTGGCAAGAGAAGAGATCTGAAAACATCAAATCCAGATCTGAGAGCTACTAGGTGTCTGCAGTTCTCTCCCCTTCAACCTTGCTGCCCTGCTGCCATTGCACGCAGATTTCCCAGAGGATGAGGGAACTGTAACCTCCCCTCTCCACCACATTCCCCTCTTCACTTATCTTCAACCTGCAGAGGCTCCAGGCCAGGGTTTATGACCGAGCTGCTCAGCACGGATGCAGGTACCTCCATCAGGCCTTTCTGATCATATTTTGAGTCTGAAAAACCCCTGCTTCAGCTAGGAGCCAGGAGCTTGCTGCTTTGGACAGGACTCTGCAACCTGGCACCAATCCGCAGACTGGCAAGCTGAGAAACATTGCACTGAAACACGCAGCACTACCGCAAACTGCTGCAGTCTCCTTGCAGAAGCCTGTAACTATTCTGCCTGTTGAACTGGAGACACTCGTTTGTTGACTGTTTGCAGGAGGAGGAACAGTCTGTCCGTGTCAGAGGCAGGAGGGCAACCCGATCACTCAGCTCAGAAGGAAGAGCTGGGAGGGAAGCTGGGGCTCTGCACGGAGCAGATTGGTTTCTGCGGAGGTGCAGCCTGAAATGGGGTGAGGGAATGAAAACAATTTGGCAGACATCAAAATCTACAGAGCAGCCGGAAAAAGGAGGAGGAATTGGTATTCACAGCAATCAGGCAAGGAGGAAATGAATATTCAGCCATCCACGGATGAGCAAAAAAGCCAGAGGTTGGGATGGGTGAGAGAGCAGGAAT